ATCACACAATAAATTTCATTCACAATAATTAACTAACTGTGCTGAGACTACTAGTGTAACTTAAAAAAGAAAAATAGAGATGATATCACTGTTATCTTTATGATTAAAATAGAGAATTTTAATTTTAATTTCATATTTCAACATATCAGAGCCAAATTTTTTTTGGTACATCCATTATCCGTTATATCCTGTATATATTATTATATTTACAGTCATGTTGCCATCTTCGTACCGTCAGTGTCTCTATTATTTGATCTTCCCTGGCAAAATTCTGCTTCAACTCTAACTCCGTCCGTTGAGAATACTTCTATTTTATATTATAGTTTCGTGGTGCGAAAATGAGTTCTGTTTCAAACTATAACGGTATTGAAAGTTTTGATTCCGATTCTGATCCAATGGATGATCCCGACTACATTACTTTCGATCAATCTTGGTAAATTCAAGTTCGTTTGTGGAGGATCTCGGCTACATCACTTTATATCACTTCTGGAAAATTCTAATTTGTTCGACCATATCTTGAGTTTAAGGAAAAATGTTAAGATATATTTATAAAATATATATTATATTTATGGTGGTTGTCTTATTTCAAAAATGTGTATGATTCTCTCATTAGTTAGATAATTTATATATCACTTTAAATATGTACATAATTTTATTATTAAAATAAAAAAATTTAATTTCATATTCCAAAAGAAATTAACAATGTCAAGGAAGATGGTCAATGAAAGGAATTGTGGGAGAAATATTTCAAATGAATATTGTGAATGATATTTTTAGAGGTTATTAGGTTAATTTAATTAGTAATGTGTGTTAGTGTAGTAATAATAGTAAATATTTTTTTTAGTTTTGTGAATTTGGTTAAAAATATGTCATAATGTTTTTGTAATATAACTTAAGTGTAAGAATCAATTTTTTTGTAAATTGAAATTTTTTGTTCTTTATTTCTTTGTTTCTATCATAATTTAGGGAATTCATCGCGAGTTTTCAAGTTATAAGAATCAAATTCGAGAGAAAAACTTTACTATTTGATAAAATACAAAATATATGTGATCACAACATAATTTGATATCAAAATCAATGTTAGAATATAATTTTTTAGAATGTTCTCAAAAGTTGTAATGATAAAATGAAATACTCCATCCCTACTAATTCAACAGATTTCTTTTTTTTTTTTTTTTTTTTTTTTTGTCATTTTCATTCGTATCACTTTACGTATCACTTTAAAGTATTTTTTTTAGAAAAAGTAATCATAAACTAATACCAAAATACTACTCTTACTTCAATTACAAATATATCATTACACATACAATTACTTTATACATAAAGTCAATAACAAAAATGTGAAAAACTTTACACACTTTAACTGACTAATAAAATACTATTTTTTTTTAATCTACTATAAAATTCCAAAAGACTCGATTGAATTGAGATGAAAGAGTGACCAAGTGAAGAAACAAAAAATTTCTTATTATTAACCACTAATATAATAAGTATATATCAAAAAATATTTTAGAATAACAATTTTTTTTTTTTAATACAACTTTAAAATTAGTTTTGCACTAAATAAAGATCTTCAATCTCAAATATAAAGAAATTAAAAAAATCTCAAACCATATTCATGTTTTAGAGTTTGTTTAGTTTGATTTTTTATTTTTTCATTTGATTTTGATTTAAATAGTTGTTTGAATCTTATCTATTCATTTCTTTATTATTATTTTTTTTAGGGAAAACAATAAATTCACATTGGTTACCTAATAAAGAAATTTAAATCAAATTCTATATAAAAATGATATTGAGTGTGTTCTTTTAGAAATTAATTTAATTTTTTATTTAAATAACAGTTTAGATATAATTTTATAGAAATTTGCAATTATTGCATAATATAAAAATTAAAATTAAAATTTAAAACAATAAGCTTATATTTCCTTAAAAATATCTCTAATATCTCTAATTATTTTTTTACTAATTATGAAATTAAAATTTATATTTTGTTCAAAATATCATATTACCTAGGCTATTTATAAGATATTCATTTACTTTCATATGAATATTATATTTCAAAAACACGTTTAAAAAATATCAATATATTATACACACTCATCATTTTTATATTATCTATGCAATTTTTTATTTTTTACATCAGAATTTTTTCCTTAAAACCAAAACAAAAAACAAAAAACAAACATACCCCAATCTAATTATATATTAACATTTAACTATATATACATTATATATATTTATATGATATTATACTTTCATCCAATTTGAAATATACGTCTACTTTGACATGAAGTTTACGAAAAAAAAAAAATAGTATTGTAATTGTAGTTAGTAGTTAAGAATAGTATAAATACAATTTTTTCTTAGTTTTTGGCATAATAGTAACGATGTGATGTGATGATAAATTAGAAATATCCGTAGAAAAAATTGAAATATTTTCTAAATGATCACTTTTTTAATGAGCAAATATCATTTTTGGTCAAATTCAATATCATAATTATCAATTTTTCTTGAATTATAAATATATATCAAATAATTTTAACAAAGTGAAAATAATAATAAATATGACATACAATATGACTATATTGAAAACATAGTCGTAAACATGGCCTAGAACATGTTGCGTTAAGAACATGGTCGTGAACATGACCTATAATATTACAGTGTTCGGGCCGGTCCTAACTTTCCAAGGGTCCGGAGCTAAATAAAAGTTAGGGGCCCTTAAATATATATAATATCTTTTTACCTATAATAAAAAAATATTTTTTCTAACATTTTTTATGCAAAAAATATCAATAATAAAAAAAAATATTGTCCATAACTCACATGTGGTTTCAAAATTTAAGCAGAAATTTCCTATATACTTTAAAAATTGCGTAACGCTCCTTATACTTTAACAAATGTTATATAAAATCTCGCAAAAAATATAGATGAAAAATCATATTTTTATCATCCAAAAAGTATAAAAAGGGATTTCATAGAAAAAGATATAAATAATGGGCTCTGAGCGGGCGCCACTTTCGCTCGGGCCAGGGCCGCCCTGACTGTGTTGAGAACAAGGTCATGAACATGACAGAAATACAGTCTGTTCAGAACATGACCGTAAACAGGCACATGAACACGACTATGATATTGAATGAAATAAAAAATGATTAGACAACCCAAATTAAAAAAATATATTTTGTAAGTGGAAAGAGAAAATATATAATAAATTTTTTATTTAAAAAAAAATAAAAATAAAATTCATGCGAACTTAATCTACAATAAAAAAATAATTGTTTCGTTTCAAAAGAGTTTTTTTTTTTTTTTTTTTTTTTCCATTTTCGTTTGTTTTAAAATAATTGTTCAATTTTTTTATTTAATAGTTGTGGTTCCCATTACACAACAAAACAACCTCTATAATTATCACTTTAATGTACTTTTTCAACCATTTATAAAGTAAATGCAATTTGATTATTCACATTCTACTTTATAATCACTTTCAATTTAATACTACTTCCTCCGTCCTAATACAATAGTCTTGTTTACTATTTTTGTTCGTCCCAAAATAATAATCTCATTTCTATAAATAATCATATCACTGTAAAACTACAATTACTTTTTCATTATTATTACACAATTGTCACTACTTTTTACATTAATACACCCATAAGAGCAAAAAAGTCTTTTACTCGTACTTTTTACCCACTATCAATATAATATCAATATTTCTTAAATCACGTGCTAAATACAACACAAACTATACTTTTGGGACGAATGAAGTATTGTTTTTAAATTATGTGTCTACTAGCATAAGACATTTGATTATCATAATACATACGGTACAATAAGTCTTGTAGTGAATGGATGAAATTTATATTTACTAAAAGTATAAATAAATATTACGTGTTTGGATGAAAAAATATAACATATATTGAAACAACATTATGTTAGAAATTTAATTTATAACATTAGCAGAATAAATCATCATAATATACAAACATTAAAATAGCAAAATATAATATCAAACATATTTCAGATATATTTCAATATTCCACAATATTTCAATTAAAAAAAAAAAAAAAACGTAATATTATCCACATTCCCAAATTATAATCGACATTAAAAACTCCTATTTCAAATTTACCACATATACAGAGCACATTACATTGCTTTTGGATCCTAACCCATTAAGGATATGTTTGTTTCGGAGTTTTGATTTTGAGCTGAGATTTAAATAGTAAAAATTTTGAATTTGAATAGTTATATGATGTGATATAAATAGGTATTGATGTAATGTTTTGAATGTAAATTTGATTTTTAATATAATATAAAAAATAAAAAATAGGTGTTTGATTTGATATTTTTGAAGAAAAAAAAATGGAATGTACAGTAAATTTAAAATCCAATCCCCCAAACAAACACACAACTTTACTATTTTTATGTTAAAAAAAAGGAAAATCGTTCCATAAACAAAACTATCTTCAAAACCAAATAATTAATCCCTTTCGTAACAATAATACTTTTTCCATCTCATAACTAGATATTCATTTGTTTTTTTACGTAATTTCAAAAATATTAATATTATACTGGGATGTAGTAGAAATAAAGTAAAAATGACTAAAATAACCTTATTAATATGTATGATATAAAGATAATGACATTTGTATAATATATTGTAAATTGTAAAGCTATTTGTAATATTAGATAAATATTATAATTATTGAGAAAAAAAATACTTTATTATAGGACGAAATAAAATAAAAAAATAAAAATTTTGTTATGAAATAAAAAATAAAAAAAGGAGAGTACTAATAATTAAAATTCGATTTACCAAATGCGTAACAATCGTCCAAAATCTGAATCTAAATATTTTAAAAGATAAATATATAATAGAAAAAAAAACCATAGGCTTACACGTAATCTTTGAATTGAAATTACAAATATTAAATTATCCGACATACGATATATACAATATATATATGTATATGTATCTGTATGTATATATAGGATTCGTCGGTTGAAATAAGGCCTAAAAGGGCTGAAGTTTATTTTATTTATTTATTTTTTCTTATTGAATTTAATTAAATTGTTTATTTAATTGTTTGGGAAATAGAAGCTGCCCCAGAAGAGCCGTTGTAAGAACGATCTGTGTAATGATGCAGCAGCAGCAGCAGCAGAATCAGCCGAATCTAGGGCAGATAAAAGCCAGAGTCGTCTCCAATTTCAATTTCGCGGTGCTGAATCACTGCCGGCCGTTGTTGATCGGAGTTCTGACGGTCTATCTGATCGTATTTTCCTACACGAATAAAAACCTAACATTCCCTGGATCGGAGTATTTCTGCCCTCTTTTGAATCCGTCGCCGGCGACGGCGACGGCGCCGGAGAATTTGACGGTTCTGCCGAAGGTGAAGGTGAAAGCCGCGCCGGCGCCGACGAATCTGAGCCACTTGGTGTTCGGACTTTTGGGGTCGGAGAAGGCGTGGCGGTACCGGAAAAACTACATCGAGTCGTGGTGGCGGGCGAACGTGACGAGGGGGTTTCTGTTTCTCGACAGCGCGCCGGCGCCGGATCTCCTGCCGTGGCCGGCGACATCTCCGCCGTACCGGATTTCGGACGAGCTGCCGGAGTTTGCGAACCTGTCGGAAATCCGGCCGAAGAGGATGGTGCACGGGATTAAGGAGGTTCTGAGGGAGGTCGGGGATGAGAAGGAGCTCCGGTGGGTGATAATGGGGGACGACGATTCGATTTTTTTTGTGGATAATATGGTGGATGTTCTGTCCAAATACGACCACACCAGATATCACTACATCGGCGGTCAATCGGAGTATCTAATGTCCAATTTCTGGTTCTCCTTCGACCAGGGCTACGGCGGCGCCGGAATCATCCTCAGTTATCCTCTCGCCAAAGCCCTCGCCGGAGACATGGAAAATTGCCTCCGCCGCTACGTTTTCTTAAACTCCGCCGACAACACCACCCGCAACTGCATCGCCGACATCGGCGTCAACGTTTCTCCGTACAAAGGGAATCATCAGGTAAAAAAATCAATTAGGGTTTCATATTAGGGTTCCAAATTAAAAAAAAAAATCCCCAAATCCATTTCTCAGGTGGATTTGCACGGCGACATATCGGGATTCCTGTCGGCGCATCCGGTGGCGCCGGTGACGTCGCTGCACCACTTCGACGTGGTGGAGCCGATATTTCCGGCGAAGGACAGGTTCGAGGCGACGCGGCATCTGATGACGGCGGCGGAGGCGGACCAGTCGCGGCTGTTGCAGCAGACGGTCTGCTACAGCAGGGAGAGGAACTGGTCGTTGTCGGTGTCGTGGGGGTACTCGGCGCAGATATACGAGAGGATAATGCCGCGGAGCTACCTGCAGATTCCGGTGGAGACGTTCACGCCATGGCTGGACGTTCCGAGCCCTGTGAAGTACATGTTCCAGACGAGGAAGGCGTCGGGGAGCCCCTGCAGGGACCCGCACATGTTCTTCTACGCGGCGCTGGAGAAGAGGCTGGAGACGAAGGGGATCGTGACCCGGTATTCTCGGGCCGGGCCACGTGGGCTGGGCCCGTGTTTGTCAAGCGGCAATCATTCCGCGGACAGCATTGACAGCATCGACCTATGGTCGCCCGCCACGAAGCGTACTAAGGTCAGTGCACATTTACTTTCCGTCACATTACCTTACATCATTTGTCACATATTGAATTAAATATTAATTTTTTTTTTTAAATTTCTAAATTTTCAAAAATCTCCAAAACCCCTTCTCTAAACAAACCAATTTGAATTTGATTTCGATTTTGGTGCAGAGGAAGAAATGAATCCCTTTTTTAAAAAAAATTTATTTATTTGGTGATTTTGTTAAAATCTTGATGGGGTTTCTTTTTTGGTGGGGTGGGGTGGGGTAGGTGGATAGGTGTGAATGCTGTGACGTGGTACGGATAGAGGGGAAAAGGGCAGAGATAAAGTTGAGAAAGTGCAGGAGAGGGGAAGTGATTGCTTAATTGATGGGGAATTCAAGAAAGAAGAACTCACTCACTCGTTTATGGATGGACGGATGAGATTTGTCTGTATTTTTGGGGGAGAGAGATTTATATATATATATAGAGAGAGAGAGAGAAATAAAGAAGAAGAAGAAGAAGAAATAGGACCCATTTGATTTAATTCTCATCTTCTGTAAATAGGGGGAAAAAAAAGAAAGGAAGGCACAAGTTGGGTTATTGTATAATGATGGGGATTGGATTTGATGAAATCCACTATTTTGGTTGGTGCCTAATTAAATTACATTTATTACTTGGGTTATGTTTGTTTGTTTGTATTTTACTGTAATAAGTTTTTGCTGTTTGTTGGTGGAGAAATTTGAGGCGTGTGTTGTGTTGTGGTCAAATATCTCAACGCGTGATGGAAGGAAATGGAATGAAGATGATGACGTGGGAGTGAGTTTGACCAGAGTTGACTCCACTCGGGGTCGTAATTACTCATTTCTTACTGCGGATAATTTTTCTAATTTTGGAATTTTCGTGTCTGCCATTTATTATTGTGTTGGTCGTGGGTTTTTGTGTCTTTTTGTACGAGGAAGTTTGGGTAAGTCAAATTCTTGATTCTTGCTTGTTTTTGAACCAAGAGGAGTTTAACTATCATTAGTTGTCTTTGCTGAAATAATACAATTAAAAAAAAAAAAATAATATATTTGTAACGGAATTTCGTTCTTAAAGTTTACGTAGCTAACGTAATTTTATCCATAATTCTGTTTCTAATATCATTAGTAATGGAAAAAGTGGATTTAAGAACGAAAAAATTTTGTTGCAAAATTGATATTTTTTTTGTAGTGATAGTTTAAACTCCGAAAAAAAATTTATTTGTGATTTTTAAAATGTTGCAAACAAAATATTGTTATAATTATTTATTATCAAAATTCCGAAATTCTTTTAAAAATCTGTCTAAATAAAAGCTTAGACTCGCAATTTTTTCTCACAATGCAAATATATACATTATTGGTCTAAGAGCATTTCTAATCTAGTGTCATTAATGGCGATGGGTCGGCCAAATCTTGCGTTTTTTTTGGCGTTGCTACGGTGCAACATCAAAATTGGTGTTGTACTGTAGCAACGCCAACTTTATTATTATCGTTTTTTTTTTAAATTTTTAAAATTATAAATTTGATTTTTAAATTCAATTTTTATTTTTTTAATATTTTTATTTTAAATTATAAAAATAAAAAATTGTTTAAAATAATAAAAAAATTAAATATTTGAATAATAATAGTGAAAAATAGAGTTATGATTGGAGTAAAATTACTGTAGCAACTGCATATTTGAAATTAAAACTGAATAAATAGAGTTGATGGGTTGAAGATGGCCTAAGACACCGTAAATTCTCCGTAGCCAGAAATGGGAATTTCATATGTATTTCAGCTCTTACATCATTCGATAATAATAATTTTTCATATGTTTGTTTTCGTCTTTGCGTCATAAATTCTTTCACAAAACAAAATTAATATTATAGTAACCAAGAGAATAAAATGAATTGGAAAAAAAAAAAAAAAAAATACTTGGCAAACAAATAAATAACATCATATGTTTCTCCCCCAATTTGCTCTCTATTTGATGTGCTTGGTTTTGAATGATGTGTTTTTTTTTTCTTTAATATATAAAAGATCACATTTAACTATTTTATGAATTAAAAAATTAATTTAAATTGTATTTTAATAATAATATTTTGTAAAGAAAAAACAATGAACATGAAAATACTGCATATTAAAAAATTTAGTTTGAAACACAAATTAAACAAACAAACTTTATGGAGTAATTTTTTAAATATACAAACAACATATTCAAATTTCATAACTTCTTATTAAAAAAGTTTAAATTTAAATATCTCTATACATATAAAAATATGGCTCTCTATGTTTCAATCCAAATCAGATATGCCACGTCAAAACCTTTATTCATGTTAGTATTTTTCATTAATTTTTCAACAATATACGACCAAAATTGATTAAATATGCGTATAATGAAATTAATTTAATACATTTTTTTTATATTGAGACCAAAAATTATATTTTTTGAAATGAGATTAATTTTAAATTTTTTCCCTTAAAACAAACATATTATTACTATTGTTATTACTATTTTTAATTATACAAAAAATAGGTCCAACATGGAAAAGCCCAAAAAAGGTCCGTTAAACTGCTTGCATTTGCACACCAACCGTTTGGGGTGTTGTCGTAATTAATATAATTCCCAAACACAATTACTCTATTTGGAGTAAAATATTTACTATACTTTAAATTGAAAATAATTATACTTGAGGATGCTTAAGGTAAGTTACATTAACATATTGTCAATCAATAATGTATATAGTAATTAAAATACTCCATCCATCACATATCTAGGTCCGTTTGCTTTTGCACGGAGTTTTAAAAATATTAGTATTATATTGAAATATAGTAGAAATAAAGGTAAAAAGACTAAATTAACCTTATTAGTATTGTATGATATAAAAGTAGTGACATGTGTGTAATATTTTGTAAATTGGAAGGTTATTTGTAATATTAGGCATATAGTACAGTTACTAAAAAATGAAATGAATATTTTGTTATGAGACGGACCAAAATGAAAAAATAGATAAATTGTTAAGGGACGAATATAATATAATATGTGCTAAGATTAATAGAATATGTGTTGTTGAGACTGAGTCAATTCAACATTAGTATGATATTATTTGCTTTAAGCTGAACTCGTACGGATTTATTTTTGGATTTCATCCAAAAGGCCTCATATTAGTAAAATTTATGTGGAACTTATAAGGTGTTAGACTTTCTTCACATCTTCTAATGTGGGATTTGAGTTTGCACTCCAACTATCCTCCCCTCAAACCAATGACCAACATATGAGCCTTCCTTGCTCACATTGCATCGTCTATTATAAAGGGATCTGTTGTCTGACAACTACAACTGTCGGGACTGAACCAACGCCAAGAGACTTTCGACACTGGGCACCTCTGCAGATCACGAGGGCTTTCTACAACCACAACCAATGCCCAAAGCCACCGAGTCCAATTCACTATTGAACTAGACTTTGATACCACTGTTTAAATTGGGTTAACTCAACACTAGTATGATATTGTCTGTTTGGGCTAAGTCTGCACATATTTGTTTTTGAATTTCCTCCAAAAGGCCTCATACTTTTGAAGGGTTTTGGATAGATTTGGAACACTGGTAAATCCTAAGAAACCCAAACCGATGGACATAAATCGAACTGACATAAGGCTGGGATAAGGTCGAATAGAACCGCCACAAAAGAACACCTAGAACATCGATTTCACTTGGTGTTAAAGGAATAGAAAAATCCCACATATATAGATAAGATAAGAAGAAAATAAACACCCAGAAGTTTAGAGATAGTTACAAACCCGTTGAGAGAACGATGGGATAGGAACAAACGAGATTTAAACGAGTAGTAAAAAGAGATCCAAACCTAGTTTTTATCGCATCGGTAGAGGAAAGATTTGGAAGAAGGGGGAACCGGTCTAAACAATTTGGGAGATAATCAAATTTTAGATTATATTCTATGGATCGGGTTGGTTCACGAATCGGGTCGGGTTTGGATCTTGCGGGTCGGAATAAAACATACCAATAATGTCCACCTTGTTTTGGTCCACCATCATGGTTACTTTGGAGGACAATCGGGAGTAGGAAGATGTTGACATCATCGCATTTTTTTCCATCACATATAATACATAGTTAATGCAGTAAAGCATATATTAAACACATAGCAATAATACATACTGTCAAAGTTTAATATATTTAAACATGACTTGAACTTAGAAATAGACAAACATTTGGTTCCCATATCAGCATGATTAAATTGAAAAGATATCTTTTCAAGTTTAACTAATCCTTTCGCAACTATGTCACAAATAAGTGAAACATAACATCTATATATTTGGTTCTATCATGAAAAATAAGATTCTTACATAATTGGATTCTAAATTGATTATCATAATAGACTATCGCATTGTCATGCAATATCTCAATTTCAGAATGTAAACCTTTTAGCCACAACGTTTCCTTTAGAGCCTCAGTTATAGCAACATATTCTGATTCAGTAATAGATAGAACAACAATATGTTGAAGTTGGGTTTTTCCAACCTATACATGAGCCACCTAAATTAAACATATAAGATGAAGTAGATTTCCTACTGTCTCTATTATTCACATAGTTAGAATCCACATAACCTCTCAATTTTACTTCTTCAACACATTTTCAAATTGTAGCCCTAGGTTACTAGTACCACATAAATATCTAAGTAACTACCTTACTACATTCCAATGCTCAGTTTCAGAGTTCGACATGAAACGACTCAAACAACTCATAGAATATGGGATATCAGGTCTAGTGAAAATCATCCAATACATCACAGAGTCTATAACATTTGAATATGAACATCTTTCATGTAATTCATATTAGATTCAAACTTAGGGCATTGTTCTTTGCTTAGCACAAAATGGGAAACTAAAGACACATTAGTAGACTTTGCATTGGACATACAAAATTGTTTCAGGACTTTTTCAGTGTATGCAGATTAATTCAACAAAAGTGTAAAAACAACCATATCTTTAATAATATTCATATCAAGAATGTTCTTTGTATCACTCAAATATTTCATGTCAAATTTCTTGCTCAAGTAATCATTAACATGTTTGATAGTATTCACACAAGGACTAATCAATAACATATCATCCAAATAGATAAGTAAGAAAACAGAAATATAATTTGATCTCATAAGATACAAGCAATGATCAAAATTACTTTCTGTAGATTTCAAAGATTTTATGCACTCATCAAACTTAATGTTCCATTGTCTATGTGATTGTTTCAAGCTATACAAATATTTTTGTAGTAGAAACACATGAGCAAACTTAGGGCGTGTTTGGCAATTAGCTGATAGCTGTTAGCTGATTCAATTAGTTGGTTTGACTAGTTGATTCGATTAGCTGTTTGTATTAAAATGTTTGGTAAAACAACTGTTTGATATTAGCTGTTTATACTTAAAATGACAATTGAGGACATTTTTATTTTATTTTTGTTTCTAATATATTTAATTATGTTCTTTTGAGTTTAGAATGCTTAAAATTTTTTGTTATTAGTTATTAAAAATTGTAAAAGTGTTATAAAAGTATTTATTTTTATTAGAGTTAGATTTAAAAAAATAATATATTTTTATTAAAATATATAAATAGTTTTTTCTATTGAAAATGATGTAAAATATAAAATAATAAATTTTTCGTATATATATTT